CCACGAACAGTAATTGGTTATCCCTCCAAAGTCTGTTAGTCTTCCTAACGAGGGAGTATTGAAACGAAACAGTGTCAACTTGTTCCTCTGGTCTAATTAAAACTTTCGGCCCTACCGGGTTGCTTTATTTTTTTCGGACATTCCCGCGAAAAATGAAATAAATCTCTTTAAAAGGGGGTCACCGAAACGCGTTTCCCGTCCTTTATTTTATACAGCGTTGTTAAATTCTGTTCTGAGCGAGTGCACCTTCCGCTGTGCAAATGTGTTTCCTTGCGGCACAGGTGTTTGGCCTGGATGCGCCGCTAGGTACACCACCGAGTATTCAGGGCACTGAATGCAACCGAGTTTATGATGGAGGCGGGACTGTCTTACTGTTTCAAAGAATATAGATATATATAGTTAGTTAGTTTTGCATGCTCGCAAGCTGTACTTAGTTTATAGTTCGACATGTCGAATATTATTCAGGGTCTACTAAAATTTGGCTTCTTGCGCTCATTACGAATCGATGTTGCATAGTCTCGCGCACCTCGTTTCCAAGGCTAATGGGCGGAAGTGTAAGAACGACCGTGGCAGGATTAGCGGTCTGGTTTCCTTTAATTAGGATCCCATGCAATCTGGAGGATAAAGAAGAGTTTCGGTTTCTTTTAACTTAATCCTAGTGCTGATAAGAGTGAGGCTTTTTGAAGGAAATCTTGGGGAAACGTCTCTGCATTATTCAAAACAATATATTTCAGTTATGGAGTACTCTTTTATTTTAGGTAAATAGATTACGCATTTGTATTGAATCTTGGCGGCCAAGGCAAAACGCTTTAAATTTGCCTGCCAGTAAATGGGTTGATCAAATTTCCAAATTGTCAAAGTTATAACCTTAGTTCATACTATAATCACATTCATAATGAATAGAACGAAATCAGTTTTCATTAACTTCGAAACACATTCAACAAGACAGATGTAAATTTAATGGAATCTTGTATCCATCTTTATAAATAAATGTACCAAATTTAAAAAGTTCGTGTCAAGTACGTCAGCTGCAGAAAATCATAAACGTTGCCTTGAAACTGATTAAAAAGTTTAACTAAAAAAGAATGTACGCTTTTAAAATTTTTTTCAGAACCATGAATAAGTAAGCCTTGAAGGAACACTCTTTATAACAAAACTGGCTCTCAAGTAGAAGAATTTTGATTTGAGTAATTATTTAAACAAGAAGTTATACGTTATTTAAAAGTTTAAATAAAGGGAGAAATAATTTTATACTCGATCATTTCTAGATATTTAAATAGAAATTAACATTCTAAATTTCAGTGGAGCCAGTCTATTCGTTCTGTACTGTCACTCGAGAGTATAAGGTACATTTGATGAACTGTTTTTATGTCTGTTATATTTTTAGTGAGCTACTCTCTCCATTTTACGATTATTAAGTTTAACGGAAAGTGGTGTTACGAGAGAAGCAAATTTTTGGACGTATCCGAATGAAAGAGGTTACCGCGTTAAATTTTAGTGGAGAGAATACATTAGTTTCATGTTGATATTTGAAATTTTAATTCAAATTTTCAGTGTGCTCGATTTCATTTCACTAAAACTAACAAAACGCGCTTCGTTAGAATTACGAAGCAGCTGAATTTTTAGCATACTTAAGGGAAAGTAATTAACATTCCAAATATTTGACCACTTTATACATTAGGTTTGTGCTTTCGTAATTTGACGTTTGAAATTTTTACATTAATCTTCATTCTTTTGATCATAGGAGATCGGAAATTAATTAATATCTCGTGTAGCAAGTTAATTGGTCGATATTATGTTTGTCTGTAGGTATTATTATGAATAATATCCACAGACTAATAATGCGAAAGTAATTAACGCTGCAGATGGTAATTTGTCTCGTACGACTTGGAAATTCCAACTTTGATTGATTTTGCAATACCCATTGTGCGACATTTCCTTTGTTTGGCTTTAGCAAAATTGCCGACTACGATATTTAACCAAATTCAATTAGCGTTACGAATATTAAGTGAACATGTTCCATCAGTTCAATTACTCACATTTATATGGAAATATGTCACATTTTCGTTCAGGTTAATTTTCGTAGAATGAACCTAATTTGAACATTCTCTCAAAATCACATGGATCGAAAAATTTATCTTTGAAAATCAATTCATCGTTAAAAGAATTGCAGATGTCGACGTAATACTGATTCAAAGTGCACCCATGGCCCAGAAAACAGGAAAAAGGTTAAGAGCAAGCCGGTATAAACTTTATAGCTACTAAACTTTCAAACGTCCATATCTCTGGCAATTTTACGAACTCGCTCTTAATATTCTTGCGATACATTTTTAAGAGTCGCAATTTTAGGAAAACGTAATAATTTTGAATCAATTTTCCATTGGTACAAGTCAAATAGAAGGGAATGTAGAAAAATATATTCCAATCTAAATCTAGGAGATAAAATCACAGCTCGCAATCGCATCGTTTCGTGTGTCCACGCTCGCCTCGCGTGTAATTAACAGAGAGGAAACTCGGGATGGGGGAAGATTCCTCTTTTGCTAGAAGATCGGTAAATAAGCAATTTTACACGATAATGCATCTGCGCATAAGCGCAAGAGTTGACGAGGACAGTTAGAAGCCAGCCAGAACGAGAGAGGCAAAGCGGGAACGATCGACAGAGAATGGGAGCGGTTCGTAATTAAGTAGTGGAGGTTATATAATGAAGTTCTCCTTCCTCGAACGACGATCGATTTCATTAATTATGCGAAATACCGAGGGTTGCTCTGGTTACAGGTCGCACTGAAAGCGCTCGCGGAAGTGCTCCCGGTAAGACAGAGGGGTAAAAAAAGAAAAAAGAAAATGGAAAGGAGCGAAAGGGTGGCTGGGCGGCGCATTCGGCTGGGTTTTCATGGTCGAAGGGAAAAAGGAACAGGGGGAGGGAGAAGGAGCAGAAAGAAACTCACGATTCGGCGGAAACGGAAAGAACTGGCAACCCCTAATTAACTTATTCGATCGGGTCGCGTTAATTAATGCATGTCGACCGTAGAAGCGATGTAATTCAATTACGTGAAATCAGCCGGCGCTTGGGATTGTGTCTGAGCTTAATGCGGACACGCGATGTTGTGGGGACCCGCTCTTATCTTGGGGTAGAAAGAATTATATTTCGGTTTCGAAACAGTCGACTCCGTCGATTTCGGGGTTCGAGCTTGATTTCGACTGTCCTCTTGGAATGGCGGTGGGTTACTGAATCTTGGGAGGTTCGGTGAAGTATTCAGGATGGTGTGTTATAGTTAACTTGTATGTTAACTCTAGACATAGATTATGGGACGTAGGTAGACTCATATCTGTTATATGTAGTAATGTGGATAAATGTATGGGATGGTTTAAATTAGGTTTAGAAAAAGATATCTGATATGTAGTAGATGCATTGTTCTTAAAATGAATGAAATAATCTACCCAAGCTCGGCATCGATTGGTCGTTTGTTCAACTCGGAACGCAGTATGAGTGCAAGCAATTAACCGATAATTACCGAGCAATAATTACGATACGTTCAATAATATTTATGATGACATTATTGTCCCCTTTCGTAGCAATTTATGATTGTCGATTATAGTGGCATGTAGGTGATGCCAGCCACACTGTGTTCACAATATACAACGTAATAAACAATATGATGTATCGGTATAGGGTAGATAATATAACTCACCTTTATGTTATCAGTACCAACTAAAAGATTTTTGATGCTATTACGGTATATAGTAAATAAAATTTATATCTATGGATCACATATTAATTCTGGTGATAAATACGACTTTAAAATTTTAACTTACAGCATTAGACAACAACAAGAATTCAAGCACTCCTCTTAACACTCTTCAAACATTCAGACTTGGCGTACCTGTATTATTCGTAAATTATTATGGGTGAACTGCTAGCAAAGATCGTTACTGTTACGGGGTACGGTTAACTTCGATAATCCTCTCGATGGACGATATTCGTTATTGAGGGCTCATTTACTTGTTTTAATGCTTCGAGGCGACACGAGGAAGGCGCCACTGCGTTAGTGGCGATATTAGTGGTGTTGATTTACAACGAGAAAAAGTGAGATCGTTAAGTCGGGGTTATTAAGTAAGGCAATATCTACGGTGAGATATTAATGATATCGACGGCCTCTTATGACTGGTTGGTGAGGTGTCAGCGGCGAGGGGATGAAGAATAATGACACCACCCTGAGTGAGGTAATTGTATCGCGTGGTACAGCCTAGGAGCGTGACTCGTAACAGATTCGAAGCCTAGTGTCTGCAATACGAAACTTTAATTATCAATCAAAGCACTGTTGAGCAATTTTTATTCTGATTAATTTTAAGGAAAGTTAATACAGGCACAAGCATTATTTATATTTATTTTCATTATTGATTTTGTTGTAGAGAAGTAGAACTGTCAACAATTCTCGACAGAAGTTACACGTACGTTGGATGATATTCTGAAAAAAGGTTTTTCCGTATAAGCTATCGTCGTTCTACGTGAACTTTTCTGTTTTTCCCATTTTTCACGATACGATCGTTGCACGCTTAGACCATGTCACCGCTACAACGGCAATAGTGTCGCATAAGAGGATTAGTCCCCAGTGGACTGTCCGTGTAGTGTGTTTGTCTGGTAGCAAATGGCACAGTACCTGTCGATCGAATATCGAAAACTCGAAAACTGGACATCGTAAATTCTCGACAAAATTCGAAGTCAACGATCTGCACCTGTGCACGTGAAATATTTTGTTCGATAATTAAATAGAAATACATTTACGACAGATCTTACCCAAGCATCCATTAAACTATGAAACTGTAGTAATAATATATGCACATTACTAATTTATTTAAAAATCTGTTTAAATATATGGACTTATATTCTATATATTGTCGGTACAATAATTGTACAATAATAATATTGTACAAAGTATATTTTCAATTGCACCTGGCCAGAAGCTTCAACCATCCCTAACCACAGCAATCCTCTGTTGCAGAACCCAGTGGCAACCGCCTTCGAGATATTCTGGATGATCTTCGAGCCGATCCTGTTCGCCGTGACGGGCGCCCAGATCAAAATCGACGAGTTAGACGGAAGAACCGTCTATCTAGCCATTGGCTGTCTGCTAACTGCCATCATCATCCGTATAGGAACGACCATTCTCGTTGGAATTCGTTCGAAGCTGAACCTGAAAGAGAAGATTTTCATCGCTTTCGCCTGCATGGCCAAGGCCACCGTCCAAGCTGCCCTGGCGCCGACCACATTGGACAAGGTCGACCCCAACGACCCCGTCCAGATGATGTACGCGGAAACGGTGGTGACCATGTGCGTGCTATCCATCCTGCTCACTGCCCCCGCAGGTGCCATAATTATCACCCTGTCGGGGCCTAAGCTCCTGACGAAGACAACAACGCCGGTCGCGCCTCCAGAGGCATGGAAGGCGCGCAGACCCTCCATTCGCGACATCTCCATCATCAACGAGGACCCAGACCTCGAGGAGACCGCAAACGAGAGGAAACCCTGAAGCGGACGTGCTCCATGTTTTCAGTCGAACGTGACTGTTTTACCTTATCCGTATCGAGGGCTTGCAACGTGCACTGCGAAAGAATATTCGGCGAGTCTCCATCGAAGATTCTCCCCGGTACTTTATCTGCTTATTTCGAATATTTGTTTCTGTGCACGAGGGTGTCGGTGGAGGCTTGCGAGAGACGATTGGGAATTGGGTAAATGAGAAGAGTCGGTGTGGGGGATTCTCGAGATCTTAGCTAGCATACTGCGGACAGAGTCTCGTTAAAATGTCCCAAACGCGCAATTCTTTCTGAGAAATCGTTCAGTTCTTGGCGTATCGCAATATAATCATGTTCCTTATTTCAATGAAGATCTTGCACCCTGAACCACAGAATTCATTTTGTGCAGCAACAGATATAGTAAAAGAAGTCCCAGTTTATCTGACAGCCTTGGAAGTATACATACTCTATCGAAGTCTGAATTGATTTGATTGGAGACGTTTGAAACAGAGAATCTCCAACGAAGATTTTGCCATTTGTATTTTACCCTCCCCATCCTGAATATTCGTTGCTCCTCCATTCTTACAATAATATAGATGGAGACGGGTTTTTGATGAGGTCTGAAGTTGTTTGAATGTTAATTCTTGGTATACGAATCTGTCCTGTTGTAGTATTATTACAGTTTGTGTCGTCAATGTTTTCAACGGCCAATGTTCCTATTATCGGGTATCGTTCCAGTACAGGGTGAGTAACCAGCTTTGTTCAATCTGAATATCTCTGCTATTATAAATATTAGGCAGAAATTGAAGTAGCAGACAAAGGTATTTCAAAGTCGACTTAATTCAGATATTAGTGAAGTATATATGTGTTTCGTTGCAATACATTCATTTAAAGTATAAGAATTTGTTGTGAGATAAATACTTGCTTTACATGTATAAAGGTGTATTGTAGTATAGTGATGACATATTACAAGGATCTTTATCTTATCTTATAATTCAGTAGAGTAATGAATTCTGAGGGAAAAAGAATTAGAGCACACGTATTGTAAATATAATAAGTTCTGAGATATTCAAGTTTTAAGTTAGTGTTTAGAGTGCTTAACCCTCAGTTGGTGTGGTGTCAGTATCATTACATTACGACCCTATTAGGTAGAAAATGATTTAACATACACGAAATAAACAATGTTATAGTTTATTCATTTTTTGTAGATTTGCATTTCATATTGGATATGAAAAGTTACGTTGGCGTAAATATTTTAAACCACGAAGAATCTTTTAAATACTATTTTACAATAATTTTAGAATGAAATGCTTCTTAGGATTTGCGATAATCGAACAATCCTGAACGAACTTTGTTCCACTGTCTAAAATAGTAGTGATATCTCAGATGTTCGACGTTGGTGACACATCCTGTATACTTACGCTGACGTTGCCGGTCCCAAGGATTAAAAAGCACGTTGATATCAAGCATTCGTTTTCAAGTTTTATCGTTCGTTGCAGATCGCTGACCTATCACTCCGCGAGTGATCCAAATTGGTTTATTTAATTGTCTCTGCCTTATAAAAAAGATCCGTCGAGAAGATCTGCCCATTGATCTGGAACGTAGAGAAACGTATACAGGGTAGAGCACTTGAAATAGGTCACCTGTATACCTCGTTTATTTATAAGGATAAGAAAGAATATTCGAGGCTAAAGTTTCTTGGTTTTAGATGTATAAGGTATCCGTGTCGTTTTTCTTCTGAAAATCGAAAATCGTGGAGACCATTGGATCCGTGTTTTCAATTATTCTGGTCGAAGCCAGAATAAATTGAGGAGAACCGTTTGTAATAATAACGCATAATCTAGGAAAAGAAGATTCATTCTTTATTTTTTCCCATATTAAAGAAAAATTAAGAGGATATATATGATATTAGGGACAAATTAATGACCTTGATACGTCTCCCTTAAACAAAAGAAAATATTATTACCACACAGTGTCCACTATGAAATTAGACAATTCTCCCTCAAACATCCTGTCTATTTTTAGAAATAAGCCTGGCTGCACGGCTGACCTGTTTTAAACGCTCCATCTTGTATATAACGACAAAGTGTAGTTGAACATCGGCGTGTCTTTAGGCACGAAATGCCAGCAAAACGTCTCCATAATGTTCCATAGACAGGCGACCTACGCCTGGAAACCTCGAGCGATAATTGAACAATTTGTCTGCGAGCTTCATTGTCTGGATGGGAAATCTTGCCCCGGTTAGAGATATCGGAACAATGGCTTTGGCATGCGTTTATTTTCGAGGTTATTAGTCGCATGTGTTTCGTTCAAAGGATGCCACAAATGAACAAATAAATGGAAAGAGTGTTGTATCGATTCTCGACCCATTTATGCCTGAAGCAAAAACTTGGGATTATGCGAAGAGAACAAATTTTAACATTTGGATAAATAATCGTTGGGATAGGAGCCTAATTGCATAAATATATTTAATATAATTATAGTCTAACGAATCATGGTAAATTCAGCATTTGGACAAGTGTGATATTAACGTATATGTGAATACATTAATAGTACTGATATCTTTATTCACAAATACTCCATGTGGATATAAAGAAAAATTGTTTATGAATATCTTTTTAGACGTAGATTATAATGTAGAACGCAAGGCATAAATGGGTTGGTTTAGTATGAAATACTAAAAAAGGATAATGCTTGAATCAGTTTTTAAAATTCGGTGATTAGGTGTAGACTAGTTAACATTTAAGAATTAATGCATATGTCGAAATAAGTTTACGATGAACTAACGATTACCTTTGATAGCTGTTTAAGGTTGTACATTCCTACCTAATAATCCTTGTTTGGTGTCAAAGAAAACACATCAAATGTATGCAGAATCATAATAATATTAATATTTTATTTTGCATAAGTGCACTATTTTTTCATAAGTTTAGCATGTAGTTTTCATATTTACGTCCACTATGAATGCATATAATCAGCAATTTACCGCTGTGCCTTTTCGTGAAAGACTTGACAAGTTTAATTAGCTCGGGAAGACTTGTATAAAGAATGATTGGTTTTTAAAAATGGTATCAACGACGTGAAAAGAGTGTTTTTAAATTTAACGAGTGAAACGATGGAGAGTAATTACGGGAATTAATTAACGAGAGATTTTTCAGAGGCCAAGAAGAAAAATTGGAGAACGTCCTTATCTAATATTTAACGACTCGAAATCCTGACGATCTCTATCAACTGACAGTTTTCTTGCCCCTTTGTAAGATTTAATAAAAAGAAGTTTGATTCGATTAAATAACTCTTATTTATATTCGAATATACTGCTTTTAACGAAAAATGTAATCGATACATATCCATACGTTACACAGACATTGTACACTTTTTTGTAAAATCGTTTTGACGCAGCCTATTGTAATTTAGAAACGCGACGAGCGAGTGAGTGTGAATACTTGTACATATTTTGTGGCCGTATAATTAGCCCTGAATGCGAGACTATGAAAGCAATACGCAAGAGCCAGCGAATTGATTAATCGATCGGTCGAAACTTTCAGCAAGGAGCATCTGCGCGTAAATTAATCGATTAATTAATTAGCTCGAGAGTGCTCTTGCAATCACTTTGCCAGAGAGGAGAGGATGACTGTATAAGAACAGAGTCTTACTATTTGAGACTAATACATACTGTATGTGTATTAAACATAATAATTAGTTATTAATCGTGTTGTCTCCTTTCATTTTTCGATAGTTGTAGCGTTACACTTTCTATTTAAAAAGTCATATTAGTTTCTGTTTAAATTTCTGTTTAAATTAACTCCCAGAACTTTTCAGAAGGAAATTAGTTTGGAATTGAGTACTGTAATTTCATTCGGTGGAAAGTTTCTCTATTAAACGAATAAAATAAAAAAAAAAGTGAAAGAAGATGTCCACTGGAGAGACGTTGGAGTTCGTATTCCTTTTTATTTTTTATTTTTTTATAACGTCATTGTTTGGAATGGATGGTTGGAAAATAAAATGCACCGAATGCCGGTGCAAGAAGCAGCCGCAAAGAAACAGGAAAATTAGTGAGGGGGAAAGCCGACTTTTCGAAACTGCGAATCTTCGAACCGGTAACCGGCGCGGAAGTCTTTGGGTATAGGAAGAAAAATGAAGGCAATAAAACAGAAGATGTAATACCGATTCTTCGTATAAAATCGAAGAAGGTGGGACTGGTGGTGCTTCGTTCTAGAAATAAGAAAAATGTATAGTATTAAAAAAAAATTAGGATGGAGTTATAATTCTATGTCTTTTATTAGTTCTATAATTTTTAGTAACGTTACTCTTATATCATTATTTTTAAAGTTATTTTAAGAACGAATTTAATCTTTTCTTTGTTTGCTCAAGGTATTAAATATTGAAATAGACACGATCCCATTTTAATTTCAAATTCTAGAAAAATGATTAAAAATGATTACTACCTTAATGTTTATTTAGGTGAGAATTTTCCACGCCTGTGGCGTCAACACTGCCTTCATATTCAAATCCAAAAAGAGACAGACTCGGGAGCAATTCATCAAATGTACAAAGGTAATTAATTTAATAATTCATTACCTTCTAATCGGAACAACAGAGGGTAACTTTGCTACCTCGACGTACTTTACGGAAAATCTTGCCTCTTCGAGTTGACTTCGTCGAGGAACACGAGGCGTTTCCAACACACGGAGAATCGAGTGAACTTTTCTGACGAGGAACGTCTCTCAGTGCCGATTACAAAAGCTCTCTAGTTCCGAGCACTAACGATGAGCAACGTAATAAGCTTACGGATCCTACCAACGGCATCATCGGCTTACACGCGCGAACGAAAGCCTGCAAGCTCTCGATTTTGTCTTCGCGAAATCCGAAAGGGACGCCGCGCGCCGTTTCCCGGAAACGTCGAGAAGCTCCGTTCGTCTGGCTCGCAAAACAATTATCGCTGGAAGCATATAATTCGATGCGAAATGGACGAAAATTAATTTAGTAACTCCGATTATTGCTTGGTATAAAATTACGTATCGAACCAACGACGTCGTGTCGAAGAGGTAAACAGAAGAATCTTTGCGGATTAGGGAATTGTTGAAATTGATTCAACTGAAAACTTTAAGTGGTACTGTCTGTACTTTAATTAGTTTTTTTATTTATCACGTTCTTCGGTTAATAAGAATGTTCCACTAACTAACGGCTAATTAAAGGCAATTTCCTCGATGCCAGTCGTGACGCCATTTGCCAAGAAGCTATCGGTAACAAATTAAACACCGTCGAAGAATGACGCCCTTTGCGATTGCATTCCGACGTAACTGTCAATATTCGCTTAAAGGAAGATTGATCAATAATGCATTAAACTCGGTGTAATGCATATTAATTCTCAGGGGCAGCTTTGCCGATATCTCAAACGTCAATATTTATTTTCGCTTCTCGCCAATTAAACCGCAGTGACTTAAGCCCCAGGCTGCGTGTGCGAAAATCTCTATTCGTACTCCAAAACGGTCCAGGTCAATTTCGTTCAATGTACAACGATTGAATTAGCTTATGCTTTCGATTATTATTTTCATTTATAAGGAGCTATTCATCAAGTTGTAGACACTGTATATCTGAGAGGTACTAAATCATTAATTTCGAATATTTTTAACAATAATGGTAACCAAGAAAACGTAGTTTTAACAAAGAAAATTACGCGATACGACAGGGTGATGCGGAATTTTCATGAAATCTTGCGATTCTACGTAGGTTTCTCGTGATTCTCGCGATGTATGCGAAACGTCAAGTCTCGTATTTCGAGATTATTTTCCCTTGGAGTACAAATAATCGACACAACGTTTCCTCGGATGCCGCGAGACGGATATAAAGCTTTCGAAAAACCGTTTATCGCGCTTCCGCGTGATTTAAGGCCGATTTTAAAGCAGATTTTCTGGCGCTGCTCTTTGTTCCGATTTAGAGGAACGCATCGCACTCTGAACTTCTAACCTGAATTCTTCAGGTTTTTCCTTGACTGTCAATGCTGCCATTGCTGATGTGAAAAGAACGGAACATAAATTTTATAATGTCGATGGTACTATGTATTTGTATTTGAATTAAAATTCATGGTTTAAGCTTAAATTCATGTCCAAATAAACAACTAACTTTTCATTATATTTTTATTAGACGATTATATTTCATAGAAATTCATAGAATCCTACATATTTTCTCCAAGCTTTGAGGATGATTAAATCAAAGACGTTAATAACCTACTGACAACGAAGACGAAACGGATACCCTTCATTTATTCGCGTTTTTCGTCGAAATCGACGTCCGACAGTTTCACAAATATTCATTAATTTTTAATCGAGTTTTGCGAGCGTTCAACTTGTTAAGCATCTTCCGCGCGAATCGCAGCGGAGGCGTTTAAAATTTGAATGCTCGCTAGGCGAGAATGAAGGAGGCTGTACGCGGCAAAGAGTCCTGTTCTTCTACTTCACTGCTGTTTTCGACCCGCGCCGGTTTTTCTGAAATATTCACGCGAATTTCCGTCGCTGATGGCGAACGAAACACGAAATTCTCGTTGGTTAAACTACCACACTGTGAACATTTCATCAGATTGCCATTAAAAGCGGCCACGACAAAGCGGCTTCAGGAAAATGGTATGACTACCGGCGAATTTTTAATTCGTCCTTTCGAAACGAGCGCGATTACTTTGCGTAAATACTTTTTAAACTTTTGATTGATACAGGAAGGAAATTACACTCTCAGCAATTGAAGAACCCGATGGAAACAAATTTGTATGAATTTCTTAAATCAAAGGGTTAATGACTATTACTATACAGATTACTATAGACTATACAGAAGTTTAATGCGAATAATGTTACAATAATGACAAAAATGTTTAGACATAACTTTTGGAATCCATACAATTAGAAACAATATCATTTCATTATAAGACAATATGTCGTACAATTACTTCGGACAATAATAAAGTAGCATGTAATAACAAGAATTTTTAAATATGATTTTAACAATTATTTAAGTACAAGACATTGAAAAACTTTTACTTGGATAATATTACAATGGTATATAATGACAAGAATGTTGAAGATTATAGGGTCCATCCATACAACTAACAACAATACTATAAAATAGAATATCAGTTATATCAGATAACATTATAGGGGCAAGATTATTCTAAAAATTCATATAATCCACATATTTCATATAATCAAAAATTAGTTCTGGTAACTATATGTCAGATCACGAGTTTCGTTTAGTTAATATTATAAAAGTGAGAATTTCCAGACAAGATTACTCTTAGAATCCATCCACACGATTAAAAGCAGTACTGCTAGCTACATGACAGGTCACGAGTTCGATTTGAATACAATTATAATAGTATACTATGGCAAGTACAATCAGTGATAGTTACTATAATCCATTCACGCAATTAAAAACACTACACTCCACTACAGGATAAACAAAATACACTAACACAACTCACCAGTTTTCCATCTGGCTCATGCATATAGAACATCCATTCATAATTACAGCTATCTTACGATTGATATCACTCCAGGACACTCAAAGCCAAAATATCATTCGTTGTCAAAGAAATTCGTTGTTCCTTAACTATAATCGCAAAAATCTCGGAAAGTGCAAGGTACAAAAAGAAACAACGAACGGTAACGCTAAGAAAAAAAATCTATAAAACAGGAGCAAGGTATTAAAAAGTAAAAAAAAGTAGTTTATCGCTTTCGCGAGACCTCGTTCTTGACCTAGACCCGGGAACTCAAGAAATTGTTTCCGGAAACGGGCGAACCACTTGCTTTTGTCAAGGCGCCACGCTGATCGCGCAACTGGACGTCAGGGTGCTGTTGCTGGCGCTCTTTTTCACTTTGAAGGGATCCTGGAGCGTGGAGGTTCCCTGACTGGAGTTTTTCTTCGTCTGGCCGAACCCCAGCCGTTTCTTCAACGCCTGGTAAACCCGTGGCTTCAACACGAACAAAATGAATATCAGCACACCCTGCAGACAGTTTATCGCGTCGCTCCCATAGAACACTGCTTCCTTCCAGCTTACACTGGTGTACTGGTTCATTATGGAGGACAGTATCTCTGCGATCCACGTAATCCCCATCACGATGAATAATTTCACGTTCATCACCAACCTGAATTAATAACAGAAAATACCATAAAAATAGGAATATGTTTGTTGAATTTTTGTCGAGATTTTTAATGAAGCGATAAACCGTTTAAATTTTCATGAATAAATAACCGATCTAAAAGTACAGTCACCGCTTTCTATAATGACTCTATACTTTCTACACTTTTTCTACACTGAACATTATACGCAGACTGGCATTAGTTGTAATAGCATAAATTCCCAGAAAAGATACGATTATGTGCATAAGCATGAGAAGTGATGGAAACGAGATTCCACAGACTATAAAATGGAATTTCATGGGTTTATTTCGCATCAAAGATATTCTTGTGACCGTGGGGTTTCACTTAGCTTTCATGTTTAAGGGACAGTGGATGGACTCACTTAGTTTTGTCAGCGTGAAATCGTTTGCTCCTGGGATCCGACGGGTCGGCGACCCTTCTTATCTCAGCTTTCACCTTGCTACAGTGCTCTGCCGTGAGAATGAAGAACACCACGTTGGATATCAGTTGAATCGCGACTGGTCCTCTGAAGAAAATCAGTTCACCGTACATCCATGGCTGAGCTGTAACGTGAACGCCTCCGAGTGAATCAACCATAATCGATGACAGGCAATACGGATCTTGCTTTAAAGGGACTGTCAATTCGCGCCAAAGGAAAGTCTTCTTTGGGAATTAATTCTCGGCAAATTATATGCAACCCTTAACTTTTCCTTTTGCGCATATAATTATATATTGATTACATTGATTAGAAGTTTAGCAAAAGCATGGATTTGTCTGTGATTTGGAGTAAAATAGTAAAAAATATATATACTCTATCAAAGAATAGAACGGAAGAATAGAAATAAATATTTTACCCTCGACTTTCATTAAAAGAATATTCCACAAATAAGATAAAGAAAATGGTATTCACTAGAAAAAATGTCTCGCAATTCAGCGGTATTCTTTATCGCAGGAACGAATTTTCTTCGAAGAATGACGGTCGTGACAATCCTGTGGCAAGGGAAATATTGAATTAATATGCGCGCTTTCGCACATTAATTCAATATTTGATCTCGAAAAAGCGCGAAATCTGCGGTAGCAATTTGTGCTTTTACCAGAGGGAAGAATCCTTAGGGAGCCATCAGGTTGTTCTTTTAATGGGATTCTTGTATTATATCGCTTTAATTTCAGAAATTTGAAGACACCCAAGAGGAAAGACGCAGAAAGGAAAATACTCGCGATTCGTAAAGCAAAAGGCAGAAGTTTACGTAAATATCTCGCATTTCAATGCACGACTTTCTTCATTGAGATGCGAAATTTATCTTCACCCAAGGGGAATAAAGAAAATGTTTGCAATTTATTATATGCTCGAGTGGACGTTTGAAACATCAAAGCAATGGTTACTCGAGCACGAGAATCTTTAATCTCCTCTGTCCTTTATTTTATTTTATTTTTTTACGTTTGGCAGTGCCGTGAATTATTTGAGGTTCAACGATTATAATTCAAATACAAATTTTAATTCATTATCAAATGATTTAATTTGTGAAACAATTTCAAACTTTTGGTAAAAATAACCCGCGCAATTAGTCGAGAGCAAATAGTCAGCACTCGAGTCAGGTCAGCAGTGTGTCGGGTCAAGATATCACTATCAAATTTGATAACGTATCCAAGTGGACAATTATACACTCGTAACAATGTTTCGAGCCTCTTCTACTTCGCTAATTAAATCCGGCGAAATCTGGTAATATGATTGGTAATTCGTTTAAGCATCAAGTTTTGAAAGGATCGTTAGGAACCGTCGCATCTCGTTCGATGAATCTTCAAGTATTTAATTGATTGTCACAGAGTTGCAAAGTCGGTCGAGAAAACGTAAAAGTTTAATGAAACTTGAGAATAATCTGCGCGATCCTGTCTTACCTGGATGATTTTTAAATCACTTAGAAAAACTCTTTAATTATCGAGCCATCATGATACCTGACATTGCTAATAATCGAAGTCGAAGTTTCTCGCGTCGATAAGGCATGCTAATGAGACAGTGGTGAACAAAGTTAATCGAAACTGGTAATTATAAAACACACAAGAAGCGGCACGTTTCAATTTTATTGTAGTCTTGTGAAATAGAGTCTGAAACTTCATCAATCATTTAAAATAATAATAAATAATCCGATGACTCTTCGTAACCAACAAACCATAAATTAAATATACTCTCCCCTAATGACCAAAATAAAATAAAATAAAAACTCGTCCCTTCTATCCTTCTATTAAATTAAACGGGATCATTAATATACTTCAACCTATTTCAAACCATCAGCCTAACACAATTAACTAAAAATTCAAATATCAAATCTATAATAAATACAAATCGTCTCCCTGAAATGGAATCCGAACGTTTGAACGCTTTTGTGTAGAAATTTGTGCTCCCTCGTGTAAATCTGGCCGTTAAAAATCTGCCAATGAGTTTCAATAACAAATGCATTAAAATAAATCCCGTGTAACGTTGAATCGAAACATCCAGACCGCGGATATCCGAATAAATTGAGGCACGGTTGGTCGAGCCACGGACGAGCCGATAGCTCGTGGAATTTTTGCTCTTTTTAACCGATTCTTCAAATAAACATAACGGACGACGCGAACGTCCAATGTATGGCGGATCGCGAAAGCTTATCGTTTCCGTTCGATAACTTACTTGTGAACCAGCATTTCGTTGTACCAAAATACGGCGTGAAATTTGTTGGCAGGAGATGCATCTGATCGGTCAGAATGGCGAAACCGGTGATTAACAACGCCAAGCCCCACGCGTACAAACAATACAACAGGAATCGTTTGCCGTGGGATCGTCCTCTGCCGAAATTTCCACGCAGACTCCTGAGAAAAAAAGAGGAATTCTTTTGTAGATTACGTATTATTATGTTTGCCCTATTATTTTAGAAAAAGAAATACAAAGTGAATTTCAATTTATTGCATAGAGATATGGTTTATTTACGACGAGTATAACTCCACTCTATTGGCAAAGTAGTAATTTCTTGTAAACAGGGGTCTGTTCGTGCTGTTTTATTAACGACAGAAATTCCCCATATGCTCATAATCGAATACAAATTACAGATAATTGCACACCAGCCTTAACTGTACAAGGAATCGAGTCGTTGTGACATGCTGTTGGCATGAATTGCAAACAATCTTTCTTTTCCTATCTTATCCAGGAAATGAAAAACACAAGTAGAAATCAATTATCTTGGATCCAATCACAGTGTAAACATTTAATCAAAACGAAAAATTACGTAATAATTAAAAATCAAATGAAATAATATACGATGCGGAAACTAAAGTAACAATTACAACTAGTGGTATTTCCATTCCTACTTTTTATCATTCCTAGATCTACGTAACGTTGATCGTCATGCACAACCTTGAAATTATCACGATCCGTTACGCAATTTCAATTTTGTATGCGTTCCTTTCACGCAGGAGAAGAACAGGCAGAAATTGTTTACCGCAATTCAGTTACAATAAATTGCAACTCTCATTCCTAATACAGTGATCAAAATAATTAATAAATCGCCAACACTAATGAAATAGGAGATGCAAGTATTCATCGCCTCCACTAAATATTCTCAAAGGAAAATTTCTAAAGAAATATTATTTCCTTCTTACTTCTGGTACTATGGAATAAACAATAGTTTCCTGTTTTTGTATAAAATATATCACATAAAAACATGAATTGTAAATTATAAGCATTTGATCTGGACAAACCTAAGCATTTATCCATGATTGAGTCACGTTTATAGAAAGACAATTTCGAGTGAATATCAAGAGAAGAATCTTTTCCATACGCCATTCCATTCACGAATGGTGAAACGCTTAATTAATTATTAATCGTTCGTGTATTCCACGCGACGCTTGTTGCTCGACGCTTCGAACCTGAAGCAATTTGCGTTGATGAGCTCGTCGCGAATATTCGATTAAATTGACTAAATAAATGACACGTCGCAGTTGTTGTTATTTCGCTCTCGATTGGCAATAAAAAGCAATCGATTTCGACTACCGTGAATCTGGATTCCGAATGAACATATCGGGTTTATGTTTACGCCGAAATGGTGGAACTAAACTTCTCGTGAAGCTTGGTACACGATAATCTGGAAGGGATCGGTTGCAATTATGGAGGCTCGAAAATTTTTTTATTTTTAGAAAATTTCAAAGATATGACGATTTTTGAAAGATCATACGCAAGGATCTCAACAGCAGGTTCGCTCATTGAATTCTCCATTTACCTAACCTCCTCTGTTCAGATTACCAAAATTTATCATCCCCTACGCTTTCGTTGCAGAGTTACTTGTAAATAGCCATAAATTAACGAGATAGAAGGAAGAATTATGGATGGTTCATGCAAATGAATCCACCAACGAGTTCAGGTGATTCATGAGATCAATATAGCGATTATCCTGCACGAGGGGTAATATATTCGATGGCCTGTACAAGAAAACAAATAAGTCAAAGTATCAATGAACGATTGTATACAAGACTCCCAGCAGCCATTCACTAATAGCGATGATTACACTATGTGGTATACCGAATCTTCTACTTATCTAATCTTAGCAGTCTCGTAGACTTTCATTCCAGAGTTAATTATAAATACCCATGAAGTAAAACATTGAAAGAAATTATGGGTGCCATATTGGTGTAGAGCATTCCAACGAAATGATTTCTCGAAGGCCAACAAGAAAAGCAAAGAACGTCAGCGCGACGATTCCACGTTTGCGTAGATCTATTTTCTCCGCATATTTACAAAGCCAGCAGTTAGAATAGCGTCTTAGAAACACAAACTCCCACGGCACGTTAGAGATGAGAGGCATAGCGTGCCACAACCATCTATGGATCACGATCGTGCGCTGGACAATCGCATATCGATCAAACCAGAATTGGATGTTAAATCGAGATAACGAATTTTAAATATATAGCAATTGAACAAAGTAGCGTGTAATTGTTTTAAAATATTCCTCTTTAAACGAAACACCCTATAAATGTTAACACAATCATCTACAGATTTCTATTTGAACAAAGAAACCCTGAAAATCTTCAACCTCTCCAAATAAAACCAAATTCAATTATTCCCAAAATGCAGATTTCACGAGTTATCAAAGATTTAGCAATAAACGCGTGGATCGGCGATTAAAGCAGGCAAAGCAGTTCGACAAAATGAATCGCAGCGCATAAAAATGTCAATACAAGGAATTCTTTGTCGGTTCTTAAATTCGCTGAAAATTCGGAATTCATCGCGTGTGCCGTTCTTGTATGCAGAATTTCAATGCAGGCGATTCAAGAGGCTGCGAAACACTGACCCCGCTGTTCGATAATTAAAATTTGTACATCTGTATTTCAAGTGCCTAATGTTGAGGGAATAAAGAAGGTAGGGAAACGAGGTTGCGACCTACATCGACGTGCAAGCAATTTCAATATTTATGATTGATTAACGCGTAATAAACTGAACACTTATAGAATAACGTGTACGATAATCGTTTTGCGGTGTTAAAGTACTTGTAAGGACAAGTAGAATTAGTAGAATTTAACTTTATTTAAATATTCCGTTTTCTTGTATTTTACGAAAAAACGTCTGGTACATCGAACACCCTGTACACCAAATGTTTGTGTTCGTTGTTTCTTGTACAATAATTTTCTGCTCTTGTGCATAACCTGTATTATTCTCAGAACACGTTGACGTAGGTCATAGACTTTATATAACAATACGTAAACGTCTGCCAATCTATTTATATAATTTCACTCGAATTGCCAACAAGGTTTCTTTCAATTGTTATTTCATTAGTATCCTGAATCACAATCTTCAACAATTTGAAGAATAATGCGATGAATATAGAATGATAATAAATAACACGAAACATTTCACCGGTAGACGTTTGCCAAACAGGAAAACACGCAGAAAATACACGGACTGCGGGATACGGGCTCATTTCGAAAACGCACTTTTATCTGCAGTCTATTGGATTGACTGTGAACTCGACGGAATGGGTCACCAATTACATCGGTTACAATTGTAGCGATACCACGTTATTAAATCTTCGATGACAAGGGTTTTTTAGTGCTTCTCTTAAATTAAAAATCTGAAAACGATGGTATTAACATGCCTATATAATTCGTCGTCAATGTATTCACTTACGTCCGGATCGTTTCACGCGAAATCGAACTAATAATCAATTTCTCAAAATTTGTCTTCGTTACAGTACTTTGGATCGCGCCACCGCCCGTCTATGAAGATTGAAAAATAAATAAGTCTCTAATGCAATTTCGCGATTCCCGACTCCAGTCTTACTTTGACCCCGTTGAAACCGTCTCAGAAGATATTTATCACCAAGAGGTAAACACGGTGTGTGTACCAGCGAGCTTCCAGCGAGTTTCAATCTTTGAGCTGGGAACGCAAACGGTGATCCGCTAGAAATCGGAAATCCGTTTACCTCGTTTACAAAGTTTACAAGGGGACCACGCAGTCAAATCGCGCGACCGATCCCCGTTGACACTTTATCATAGTTTTAGCAGCGCTCGGCGCAATTTCGGAATTGAATACTGGTAAACATATCAAGCGTCGCGCTTGGAAAACAGGGCCCGGATTATTGTTGTTAGCATGGAGAACGACGATACGCTGGAATTAGGGGTGAAAGTTCGTATATCTCTCGTAATACGAACGGTACCAGGCCCGCTAATACCCTTGTGGTGAAACTGAATTCGTTAGGAATTCATCGTAAAGCCGCTCTTGAAGTATTACGCGTACGTATTTCAAATTACATTGATTAACTACCCTACTGTTGGCACTGGATTATTAAGTAGGTTCGTTTTATGAACCTGTCGCTCGTATCGTTTTGCATTACACATTTCTGTGCCGAAATACTGTTCGTTTCCAAGCAGAGGACCCATGCAGTTCGTGAAAAATTTGTAAATGTAAATTAAAAAAAATTTAATTGTTGAGAAAGAAATAATTGTTTCGTTTCTATTAAGTACGTATTGTACTATACTATTCGACACGAGGAATTTGCAAGACTCCATGCAATTCGCGAGACTCCACAGGGTAATAAATTAGGTTTGCAAGTATATATACCTGGAAGCTCTATCACTCTGGTAATCTATTACGCCGACGACACTTGAAAAATTGCAACGTGTAAAGCACTCCCCGCATAATTCTTCGAAAACTTTTAGATAAAGATCCCACCCTGATCTTGTCTGCCATTGATGGAATCGATTTCTCTCGCATTAATCACCGCGTACTTGAGCCACTTTATATCCAATTTCCTTTCTATTTCGCTCAATTTCGAATCGACTACCTTCACTTTACGACAAACTTTCTGTCGCAATAATTCCGTAGATTTAAGTTTGAGAGATAGATAGCGAAGATGGGGCAGGGAAAAACGACGCTTGAATGTTTTGCGCGAGGCAAGAAAATTTATGTCATTAAAAATATCTTACCCGAATGTCCGCCATATATCGAAGCACATGATGTTCAGCCAAGAGAAAGCTGACAGGAAAAAGAAGCACATGAGGTATCCTGAAATCAAAGACAGGATTTCGTCTACCAACCGCGTGTAGAATTTAAATTTTTGACGTACAATTAGAGGTGCAATTAAAATTAAATCAATGTTGGTGTTTTAATCTATTTTAGTACAATCTTCTATTTTTATTAAGTTTGTCAAGCAGCGTTAAGAAACTGTTTCTTTGCACACAAGAGTGATATTCGTACCTATATTGTGTAATATAAAAAAAAAACCCATCCATGGAAAAATAGAAAATACGATATTAATATTCGCAAGTCTGGAAATCCCAAAATTTAGCGAAAATAAAATTGAAAGTTTCGCAGAAATTGACGTATATGTACGAATAAAAATAATTGTCCAATTGATATTTCACAGCCGAACGCTATAACGAGAAATTTGTTTCCGATACACCGAATTTGACGTGACTTTCATTTCGACGTCAAGTTAAAATATGACGTATCCTTGAACGTCTGGAAATGATATGTATAAAACGTGAGACGTCTGGAAATAACTCATGGAGATGATTCGTTGGAACGTAATCGAGTGCAGCCTGAAACGATGGACTGTCCACGGTGTATATTTATAGTTATAAAACACGAATAGCCAGTTAGATCGTATTACATTTAACGACTAATTTTAACCACCGATGTTTCATTTTCGTTTCGCTAATAAACAACTCGACGAGTTATTAAATAAGAATTAATGAAGAATTAAATATATAATGTAATTATATATATGATAATAGTAAGTATTAGCTATATTGACGCTAAGAAAATCGTAAGAAATAGTGCAGCAGGAATTTATAATTAATTGCAAAGAGTGTACATTAATGTTGCGATAACGTACCCAGCACAGCACAATATGTGGTTGCGATGCTGTTTTCGGGGCTCCGGAACGGTGTCACCCAAGGCATTATGGCAAGACAAATGTAAGACATTAGGAGACTCGCAGAATGGCACATCAACGTTTTTCCATGAAGATTTTGCAGCGTAGGTAGGCAAATGTACACCAACAATGTCAACAGCAAGAACACGCAACTTACTATCGTCAGGATGCTGGTAACTGTGATCCTGAAATCAGTAAAGAAAACGATCCATTTAATACTGGTACAACATCCATTTAACGTGCAGTGCTCTACATTAACACTACGTATATTAATCTATAATAATTAAACCGTGGATTTTACGCATTTATAGCGTACACTAATAGGGAAGGGAATATAAAAAATATATGTATGTAAAATATACAAAAATTAATTAATAATTTTTGCTTAAGTGCATGAACCTTGTCAAATACTCTTGTTTTATCAGTAAGAAATAACTGATTTTTTTCCCTCGATATGTGATAAAAAAAACAAAAGAATGCCTCGCTGGTATTGAAGAATTTATGTGAATCGTTGAACGAAAATAAAAGAAGGTTATCCATGAATGAAAATAGACATCGCGCGAGTTTATTGATAATAAATAACGTTGTCGACCCCATTATGTGTCCTCTTTCGTAAGCTTATTCTACGAATTCTACAATTTTTGTAACGTTTATCAATTCTTTGAATAAATTTGCACAGTATTTATTTCCGAAGCATTCCCTTCAGAAGCATTCCCTAGGACAAAAAGTATTCTGAAAATATTGTTAACCGAGCGAAGAAAACAGGAAACGCTTCGATTCTCGACGAAACAACTTCATTTAGTTCATCGCTCATTGCGGTCTGCTAATTAAGGGAGACTCCCGCCATTAATTCACGTTTCTCTAATAAATCTCGGCGTCGAGCGTTGAGTGTACGTGGTTTTGAAGAAGAAGCGGCAGCCCTGATAAAACGAATTACTTCGACTTCCTTGGAGAACGTTGGAAACGCGAAATTTCCCCCAGCGAAATGAACTTTATCTCGGTGCTCCTAAGTGGAGGCGAGCGCGAGAAACGTCCTCGCTACAAAGGGAATCGTGTCTGCACGTAAGTATTCTCATTATCACGGACTCCGAATATAAATCGACTCATTCCGGCTATTGCCGTGTCCTCCCGGCATTAACAACCTCATGAACATCGGTTGATCTTTATTTGTGTCGAAGTTAAGGGAGAATTCCGTGGTCGCGAAACGGCTTCGTCCATCCCCGTTGATTCGACCCGACTAATTTCTTTAATAAGGCTTGCGGAAATTGATGTAAGGGAGGAGCAAAATTGTACTGGAGTTACTGTTGGCAAAACTGAAGAAGATATTTGTATTAAACTTTTGGAAGAATGCTAGTTACGTTCGGTCATATTTCAAGTAAAACACAAAATAATATTCATCCACATCCACACGTTGCAAATATTAAATAATTATCTCTGTAGAAAAATGTAGATACTTTTTTTTTTTGAATAATTATTTATCAGCTTTTGCAAGTAAAATTTTCCATTATACGATTACATTAATAATGAATTCCTATTGAAAATGAAGAAATCCATTTTGTAAATGCAAACACTCGAATAATAAATTGTCCTATAAAATCAAGTGCAAGAATCGCTTGATGCGACTCCACTGGTTTCGAATCGTAAAATGGAAATGGCCGTTGCGTGAAAGGTGGATGCACCCAGCTTGAAAAATCGTAGAAAATAATCAAAAAAGATATACACCACTAGAGATGAATACACGAAAGAATGTGCAACCATTTCTTTACGACTTGTCCTGGTCAATGGCCCATTTTACATTCATCAGACAGATGGACTTTCGCCATTGTTGTTTATTCTTCTGCTTGGAAATGCACAAGTGTACACATTGTCCGCACCACTGGCAAACAACTTGGCCATTTGGCATTGATACAGGTACGGTATACAGTACTGTCCATAGTAATTCCGACTCTATACGTATGCCGAGCTAAACAAGCGCCACAGTTTGTAATGCTAATATCTACATTTATTAGTTTTTGGTGTTTATCGTAATACTTATGTTTGTTTCCTGAGCTTTGAATATTAATGTGATCATGAATCATAGATTATGTCGATATTAATAGTTTTTCTTTTACCACGACGTTTCCAACGATTGTGTGTTGACATAAACAAGTATCGTATTTCTAATGCTAACACCGGTGGTCTGTATTAGCTTTAGAGTTTGTCGATACAGTGATTTTTTCAATAGAAATCACTTTCTTCCCCGCTTTATTTACGAATATCTTATTTCTAACCGCGTTATTTGACGATCGATAAATATGGCGTGTTAGAAACGGAATATAGAATTTGTACCAGAATGACTCACGGACGCCGACGCTTCGCGCATGGAGAGGAACAGAGGTCGACGAATACGAAAGTTTCAGGCAGTGCTTCAATTGGATCTCTTGAAGCTCGACTGGCTTTACTTGTTTAAACTTTGCGAAGTCAAACAAACCGGTTCGGGGGCAATAAATGGCGGCCATTCATCGGCTTAAAAGTTTCAAACACGCGGATTGATGCCCGCGGAAGATGCGGCAAAGCCGGACGGCTTCAAATTGGATACGGTTCTTCTTTTTATTCCCTTTTATCGACGTTTCAATGGGAGCCGTGGCTAATAATCGATGAGGATTTTCTATCACGACGATGGCTCGTCGAGCTTGCATATATCCCGCGAGCACTCGAGCACTCATTGCGCTTTTCTCGCGAGGATGCACAAAAGAGTTCGTGTGACGACTTTTGTTGCGTGAAACGATCCCATGTCCGTTGGCAAAAAGGAAAATAATAAGTAATTGGACTGCAGAAACCTCCGTAGGGGTGAAAAGGTACAGGGGCGGGGGGTGGGAGGGTTGTAATCTGTCCCCTCACTTTTGAGAACTAAAGAATTTCATTCCGAAAGTTAAATGTCTAAATAACTCTTTCACAGTGGCTGGTGCACAAGGATCAACAAACATAATTTTTAAGCTTACGTAACGAGTACGACGCTCTCTTTTTAATAGCGGGCAGAAGTTAATGGAACGTGAAACGCTTACAGAGCTGAAAAAGAAGAAATAAATAAGCAAGATAATTATAGCACGACCTGTACGTGTTACGATTTGAGGAAAACGAAATGATTACGTTTCACTTTTTAATGACAAGGACTGCTGGTAAAAGTTCTAAAATTAAAGAAAGAGAACGATGCTGAAACTATCGCTGAAAACTTCGCTATACTTTCTGTGTAGTTTCAGGTTCGCAGCAAAAATTCAATTACGAAACAAGATTCAGCAGGTGAATCCAAAAAATATACTATCGCCTTTGAAAAGTTACACTTGTCCAATTAAGAAAGAATTTAAAAAATGCATTATATTCACAAATTCTGGGAATTATAGAAATCGACTCACTTGACTTTATTGACTTCTTCATCGTATGCTTCGTCCGGGAAGCACATTACAGCTATCACGGTTTCGTTCAGCATCTCCAAGCAGTAGTCGCTGTGTGGGTGTGGTGGAGACTCGACAACTTGCTGCAGGTATCCTGTTTGCGTCAGGTTTTGTATTTCGAACGCTTTCAGCATGTACCTACCCTTTTTGCACACTGAGCCGACCAGCAGTCCATTTCCTTTGAGACAAACACGCAAATACGAAGACACAAATTATTAAAAATTAAAGAAAAATACGTGCAAGGTGAACTCGACAAACTCAGCCAACAGGATTGAAAACAGGTAGTATCCAATATTATGTTCTATAAAGCTGTATTACGTTATATTATTCCGTATTAGGTGTTCAATCCTGAGACTCACCTGTGTCCTCCCACGTCCCACTCGTAAGATTCGAAACCGTTCTGTAAAATCCCGATGAAGCCTTGGCCGGGTCGGTTACGTCGCAACCGTATTTTCTACCATATAACGCATACAACCCATTCTCTGGACAACATTTCCTTACGCAGCTGTTGCTCTGACAGAATTCCAAGTTCCTGCAAACACGAACCGCGAGTTGACGTTTTATTTGAGAATCCTTCGTCAACTCTAGACAGCCGTTCTCCTCCGTGATGGGGAACCACTCGTTCCAGCTGTTTGCCGATGACGGTAACATCACCTGCAAATTTTGTTCACTGATTTGGAGTTACGTTTCCTACGATGAATGTACAATTTTCACATAATTCCTTACGCGAGATGTTTTATCTAAATGAAAATTTTGTTCACATTTATCTACATATAGGTGAATCGACAGTACGGACTTGAAAGATTAGATTCGGACATTTCGCACTGTCGATGGAATCGAATCATCAAAAATTTACGGTCGACGATCTGGGACAAGTCTTGGGGAAGTTTGAATTGTTTTGACGTTCCAAGGAATGTTCCAAGTCCCGCGAAGTCTGCGAATTCTTTCGAAGGTCTGCTCGACCGAGATACCATCAGCTTTCGTAAAATGAAATATCAGGAAGGAATTAATCCTCCGTAGGAATTCGTGAATTAATCCTACCTTAAATATTCCGAGGAGTCTAGATACGGATTATTAAATACTCTGAAAATCGTTGATAGTGAAACAGGTTTGTTCCTTTTCTACAAATCATACGCGATTTTTACATTGATCCAAAGTTAAATACGTTCGCGGGATTAACGTTTGAGAAGAAGATAAGATATGAATTATTAAACACTCTGAAAATCGTTGCTACTGAGTTTTATTTTTTTCATACGGTACCAGTTGGAACAGATGGTACTATTCTGGGTTTTTGCTCTATATTATTTTTTTTTTTTTTTTATATATTCTGTATTCGATACATAATATTACAAATATATGGAGGGGCTAATTTTAAAAAATTCGATGGCGGACTAAACTAGAAGACATCCTAAAGAGAGATACGGTAATCTGTTTGAACTAAAACATCCTCCCCCTAGCTGTTCTTTTGCAAAAAACGTTCATGGTTAAGAACCAACTGCGTCGATTTCACTATCGTCTCGTAGATCGTGTGGAATTTTTTCTAAAGTATGTTCGAGCACTCGTGTTTCACGGATGGGAACGGTTATGTCCATAGAAACGTCCAAGTGACCGTGAAATTTCTTTCACGTTTACTTGATGATGTGTTCAGCTTCGAAACCTATTATCGAGCCGTTCCATCATACCTGTCGACACGTAGCTCGTCGCCCGTGTCATTATTTCACAAGCGTCGCAGGTGAATGATCGAGAAACGTGGTCCGTAGAATGGCGTCCATTGATGCCAAGATAACGAGCGGAACACCATATCCCCCGGAAATAGGATTTGTCTGTTAACGGTACGAAAGATAGAGGGACCGGAGAATGTGGCATAGTGCAAATGTCACCAGGGTCATGAGATTTGTCTAATACTCACAGAATGGCCTCGTAAATCGCGGGTGGATTTTCTTTTAGCACTTTCCTTGAGAATTCCCCGTGGAAAGATTACTGTGCAACATTTACGCTTTCTTTTGTTAGGATACTTGCGGCTGAAAGTTATTTCTTTAAAAATTTTGTGTGGGAAGTCTTGAGAACTAAATGAACTTCAACGTTATCCTCTTAAGTATTGTACAGAAATTCTTATTTTATTCAGACGTTTGGACTGGTTGAAATCATCTTCAGTAATATAGAAATTTTAAATTTTGTCACACTGTGTACACACTGTTCTTTGCAAACTTTTTAATCTAATTATGTTCCCTTCTCGTTTTGTGAGGTTGTAATTTGTGTGAAACGTCTGAAATCTGCATCCACATTTTTCTCTACTTCGTGTGAACGGATTCGAATTTAAATTTGCATATATCTTTTAATATGTATCACGGTATCCGGAATATGCAACAAATTTTTTTCTCGCGTTGATAAATATCTATTACATTAAAATGTGACCGTACTTTGGGTTACCTGGACTGCGGAAGGGTGTTAATGGTAATAACGAGGATGAAGTAAAGTGGATACAAAAGTTCGACGAGGACTTATTTTCAATGACATTCGAGGAAATTAAACCAACACTTTGAATGTCAAGAATCGAACAGAGGATTTCACATTTGAAAAAGAAAATTAATTGGATTGGATAAAACATATTCATTGAATATCTCAATAACATTCGAGCAATATTGGAAAAATCTAATCGTCTGACAAAAATAAATGTATTTACGCGACTTTACGTAAGGCAGCACGTCTTCCTGTGAGATTATACAACACTAAAATTGCTAGATAGGAAATAGTGAAATATGTAAATATGCTGTTAGGCAGAAATACGATGTATGAATATATTGAAATAAAATGCAATGAAATAAAAATAGAATGGTTTATGTCAATATATCGAAATAAAAATGTCTCGACGAGAACGAGAATGGAACGAAATGGAAAATGTCTCCTGCCTTCTCAAAAAACATTCTGAATTATAATTCGGAAATACAGATTCCTCCTATGCGAAACTATTCACATAACATGTAAGATTCAACTCCTGGAAGCAATTAGTAATTGAGACACTGATATCCTGCAACGATTTTAATCCGAAATCCAGAATCTCTCTCGCGAGTACCTTGGCACGTGACTAACGAAGTCATCCACTATAATTTGAGGAAGCTTGCAGTCAAAGGAGGAATCGTAGGGTCTAATTAATCCCTATCACGCACGTCTATCAGGTAGTTGTAATCCTCACGCATCAAATCGATTCCCTAGAGATGAAATGTACAAACTAGAGAGGCAAAAGATTTTCTATCGTACTAACGATATCCGCGTTATAAGCATGATATTTCTCGGTACAATTGGAAACACGAATTTGCATGCATCTATGTGAATTCTTAGTAAGTACCGCTCCAAGCTTACCGTTTACGACACAATAGCTAATTAATTTAGAGAACGCTTGGAATGAGGACAAAATTAAACCCTCTAAGACTGGGTGTATAATATCGATGAAACTAATGAACTTTCAGGTGCATTGTTACTCGTTAGAATAATATGTTTGTCGTTGAAATTTCAAACTTGGGCAAAGATGTATCATCATCTAGCTTGGATAAGGCGCCACTAAGCTAATGAGAGTCTTTAATGGATGAACTACCAACGACACGGAGGAGCAATTAGGGAGTCGTGGGATTTCTAACAAATATTAAATTGGTAAACAACGATCCAGCATTCTGACTCTTGGGGAAAAGAGAGCGGTGAAGGTAGAGGGAATTGTGTATACAGTGAGAAAGAAAAATGGAAAAATTGACACCGCCGAGGAGGCTTCGTTGACGAGGTAGCAAAAGGCGTTATTAGAACGACCACGTTACAGTTATCTGCATCGAGCTGCAAGGGCACGCTCGATTGAAACCAAAGACCGTTCTACCCGACACCCTCCGCAATGCGGTCCTTGATTTCACCAGCGGCGCACCGTTCGTACGCCATCGCACACCGATGTGTGCTACCACCACGCCCCGTAGATTCTCTGGCGATGAATCGGATTTATTTACCATGCTGCATCCTTTTGCCGGCCAGAATAAAGCCCCGCACCACTTTGTACCATCGTCCACCACCCCTGCGACCCGCTCGACTCGCGCGAGAGTCACGCCGAAAAAGGAATCGTCGATATTTATTACAATAGAACCGATAAAAACAATCCCGGTACGGGAGAAACGCGACGAATTCGACCTGTATCGCGCGTATCGTTGCCGCGATATCTCGTAATATCGACAGCCGGGGACACCGCGAATGTTTAATCCCGCGCGTGTCACGCAGCTGGAGGGAAACGTACGAGTTACGGGGTTTCGGAAAAATGTCATTACGGTTAATCCTACGTTTAACGGATCGAGGATTTAATCGGACAGAATTCTGGGATGCTTGTGTTTCGATTGTCACTAATTCGAAATTAAAAGGGATATTTATACGTGCACTTGAGGTGGGGGTGGGTAAAGGAATGCGTTAGGAGAGGAGGAAGTGCAAGATGAGGGAAGATTAATATAAAAATCAGTAATGGATCCTATGGTAACGACAAACAAATTAATGTAGTAAGTGACAGGGCCCACTTGGAACTATGTATATTAATTAACTTCGATATCGAAGCTTTGATTTATATATGTTTATCTTAGGGATATTAGGAAACAGACAAGGGGTAATTTCAACAACTTTGTAACCGGAGCCTAATTGCTCAGTTAATCGAGCCAGCCTGCTCTCGAGACGCTAAAGTGATTGTAAAGGAAACTGAGTGATTGAACTCATTGACTTGGAGTTTAATTGTTTCCAGTGTACCAAGCGGTAGCTGTGTGCTAATTGAAGTTTGACTAAAAACTTTGCAGTGTTGCATCGATTATGTTAACATCAAATGAATCGTATCGATTCACCGAATCCATGAATGTTCCAAATTCCGTGCACGTCGAAGACAAAAAAAAAGGAAACGTCGATATTTATTACAACAGGGCCGATAAAGCACTGCGGTGGAGGAAGGTGCGATGAATACGACCGATATCACGCGCATTGTTGCCGCAATATCTCGTACTATCGATAGAAAAAGGACACCGCGAATGTTTAACCGCGTGTGGATTACACACCGCCAGAGGGGAACACAGTGGGTGGATGATATTATAGTGGGCGGCAGTTTGATTGGTGCGCTACTTTTCACCGCGGCGAACGACCGTGGAGTACCATAGGTACGGGGGTAAATTTGAGTGATTTGAAATCGAAAATTGGAATCTGGATATTGCCGCGACACGAATCGGAAGATTAGGAAATCGATTTCTATCGAAGACGCGGAGCAGTGATCATTAGATTCTGATTGTCATCAGCTTGATTACTCCAGTTCTCTGATTCAGTTTAATGGAATGAGGGCGTTTTACATAATTATGTTAAATTTACTAGACATGTTGTAAAGCTGAGATCTCCTTTGTATTCTTCGTGTCTTTATTATTAGGGTTAGTATTATCAGTTAGTTCGTTTATTAAATTCTGTCGCGTTTCACGTATCGTGAAGTAGCGAATAAGAAGACTCGTCTGAAAAAGTGCAGACACTTCAACACGTTCGACGCCATGGGGTGAGCGGTGATCAGGCACGTAGCCAGAATTTTATTTTCGGAGCGAAAGAAGTCCAAACGAGAGCCTAACTCAAGGGTGAGATCTCCAATCCTGGTACTGCGTTTTGTCGAATAATTTAATATTAGAATATTGCGTAGGTATTCGAAAACTGTGAATAAACAGGAATATTTTTATTTGAATATCGCTATTCGAATTTTAAAATATTTCTGTTCACCCAAAACTCTTTATTTCGCGTTCGAGACGTATTGAATTTTCTCGACAATTTTGAGAAACAAGATGTTTAACGAATCGTTATTACTACAGGAAGGTGTTCTATATTGTTTCGAAACTGTAAACCTTACATTTACTTGCGTCTCTCGTTTGCCCGTAATTTATGAAACAGATTCCAAACATAGTTTTTCAGGTGTTAATAGGAGAGCACGTCGTAAACTAACCGTCGCAACTAATTTACGTAATGGCTTGTTAAGCGAGTATCTATATTAATGAAAACGTGCAGCGAAGTCTAGTCTGCCTTTTGAATGCACATGGAAGACTGAAATTATTCGATCGTTAAATTTCGTGGAAGAGGTTGAGTAATCAAACATTAATGGAATAATTTTAAATACACAAAGTTTCGAATGCTCTCCAAGTTATACGTTATACCGTGTAGCCGGAAGAAGAAGCAATGAGATGTATGAATTAGGTCAATTAGGTATGAAGTAGCAAATAAAGTGAAAAGACATAACCGAAGCTACTCGAACCTTTAAAGTAACTAAAAGCGTATAAAATATGAACGATGACTAAGAGCTACGCCATTAAATCTTCTTTCGCGTTTTCTTTCTTCGCCGAGAAAGAATTAAAGGAGAAGACATTCGTTAAAAGTCTATTAGACGACGTAAGGCTACGTTATCGAAATTATGCGGTCATCGCGATAACCTGAATCTTGAATTGTCCTAGAATTTGGTTTTAATGACCGATAGTGTAATACATACTAAGTCAATGATTCCATGTTCCCATAATTAAAGAAACAAGTAAGAACTAGTTAAGTAAAGTCCACTTGCTGTCGAGAGAAACTAGCAAAAGAAGGAACGGCCACATGCACTACCACTTCCCAAGAATTAAAGTCAGCTAATCCAAATAACCATAGTCGCGGTGCGTGTTTTCGCGTTAGACAACGTGTTGTGTCCCCTGTAATAGCGTGTTGAAGAAAAAATGATAGAAGAAAACAAGTTCGGACTCGTCACGTGTTGCAAGAGATTAACGCGATCGTAGTAGCTTTGTTTATTGCAAACGGGCCCGCGGATCTCTGCTAGCATGACCTCATCGGCCGCTAGAAACGGAAATTCCAAGCATATCGCACAAATCTATCAAAACGTTACGCTGTCTCGTCTATGGGATGCGATTAGGTGAAGCACATATCAAACATGAAATATGATTTTATTAGGTTTCGAGGTTCGCTTGACTCATTTATTTGGTTGATTTTTCTGTCATATTTTGGAAGAATTTTTTAGAATTTTGTATACGTTTGGAAACTTTATCTTTTCTTCCACTTTTAGGTGAATCTAAATCCTGCCTCGTGGAAACATGAACATGCCAATGCAAGGGGGACCAATTACCAAACCTGTTCTTCCTTGCATTTTCTGCCAAGAACACCTCGATTCTGCAGCAGATGCATCTTTTTCTGAACTGCGTTGACTTCTTCATTTCAAATTATAATTTTTCGTTTATCTGCTTTAAGCATACAGAAATATAGCAAGTCGAATAAACCAAGGAGTATTTTATATTTTAAGGTGGGTCACCGATTGAGCTTTCATACAAAGAAGAAATTTTCATTGCAGTAAGTGGATCATTTGTACAGTCTCTGTACTCTAACGAGCAAAAAATCATCGAAGCCTTGGGAAGATATAACCAACTATTAAAACCACATTAGCAGATAACTGTACTGGACTTTCCTAACAGCTTGCATAATTTGTCTTTAACAGCACTCGACTCTTTGAAACTGGAGTTATACTGTTATTAAACCATGATTTTCAAGATTCCTTACTAGGAGCAGTCAAGTTCATCTTAATATAAACGTCGCATGCATTTGCATACTTATCGACGTTTTATACCGGTAAATGGAAATTACGAGATACCGTACAAGCAACATAAGGATTTGAAATATTCAATAAACAGTTTTGTTAATGTAACCAGTGCTGCAAAATAATTGAAGTAATTTAAAAAATGAAAAATGAAGTAGAAGATCAATCAAGGTTAATGATGACGATGATTCCGAATTCAAGTTCGAAAAGTTAGCAGTAAATAGTAAAACAATAATATTATTGAACACACACCCCTATTTGATAACAATACCACCTTTTACGAACGAGGAAGACCGACATAAATTATGCGAGAGTCACGAAAGTTGCACGAAAGGGTGCGTCCGGAAAATAAACGTGCACTCGATAAATTACCCTGGTATCGTCAGAGTTTGTTTGCTTTTTCGCGAAGAAACAATTTTTCTCTTTGTTTACAAGATTTTCCGATGAATTTATTTTCACACTAGTACCAGAAATAGTCGCGCTAAGTTTACTAAATGTATGGTGAAACTTTTTCGAGATAATCAATGCTTTTTCTGCGGCCCGTGCGATAACTTTTATCAGAAACTAGTCCCAGGCGAGGTAGGCGTGGTAAAATATATCATATTCCTGAGAAATTAACACGAGTTTCGATGTAAATTGGCGCACCTCGTTAACTGTACTTTTTTACAAGATAAAATACAGAGCATTATCTCAAAACACGTGTTACAAATCAAATGCAAGCGATTTATCGAGGAAAAATGAATCGAAGGTATAGAGTACAATATTTTCGTGTCCCCCAAATATTTTCAAAATCAATTTGCTCGAAAACGAACGCTCGTAGAAAAATATTTATTTTATATGTTTCATTTATTTTTTCAAGACGAATCGCTATGAAAAACTCAAAATATTGAACAATTTTATAAGGCCATAAAATTCACTATATTGCATGATAACATAATAACATAAAATTGTATTCTTCCAAGAAACTACGAATGAATGCGACGTGTAAACTGACGCTTCATTCGCGCATCAGACATTCATTTTAACCAGTTACGATTAATTTATGACGAATAGTAAAAGATGTGAACGCAATTCTCAAGGATACGGCCTCCGTTTCTCTTCTACTAACGTTTGAGCAATATGAATATTGAAATTATTTCAGGTAACTTGTTATAAATCCCCAAATTTAACCGTTAAATAACGTTTCCTCGAAACTATAGGTCCTACGTCACTTCCACTTCGATTAGTTTAATGCAGCCGCAGGATGTTTGTGTTATTGCAAGATCGTGTAAATTTTAGACAATGTCTAAGCATAGAAATTTTTGAGAATTAGAGCTACTGTAAATGATGAAATTCGTTCCATTGATGCTTCATTTTCTACGAAATACTTCATGAAAAATCCAATTTAAAACAATGAATAATTCCTGAATTCTAAATCTAAAATCTATTATATCTAAAAATGTTAGAAAATCGTACACAGCTTCTATAGAGATTTATATGAGAACCACGCACAGGTTTTAAAACCATAAAAAAAAAAAAATGATAAATCACTCATACAAATAGACTCTTTCACGACATTGATTAGCGGGATGAGTATGCACTCACCTGTAAGGTTCCATCCTTGTATCTAATGTCTTCAGGACCGACTTTGTAGGTGACCATCGCTCCTGGCGTACAATTAGGCAAACCTCTGGAGACTCTAAAAAAATCCACAGTGTTTGTCACGTTTGGCATGAAAGATGTGAACTCGCTGGTGTCGGAATAATTCCCATCGCCGATGACGTCGGACAACGGCACGCAAGTTCTCGTGGCCACGTCGAAAATTGTATATTTTTGACAACACCTCCTGACGTTCAACAGTCGTGGTATTGACTCATTTGATGCTTCATACAATTCGTCCTTATCTTTGTCAGATCGACAATGCACGACTATTGTGGGATCGCTTTCATTTGTGGACTGCATGTGCAGAATTTCGAGACAGACCGGCATCTGTAAATAAAATGCACTTCAAAAAAATGCGAAAATATGCCAAGGTTAACGACATACGAAACACCTGTGACCTAAAGAAAATATACTAAAAGATACCTGCAGTATGGACAACTAATTATTCATAGATAAAGATAAATAATAATGCAGCGATGGTCTTTTCAATTCGAAATGAAATAAATGACACGAATATGTCGCTTGAAAGTGAAATACTATTTAACTTGGTTTCCGTTTTAATAATACTACCAGCATGCTTCCTTATTCGTTCCCGTTAAAACATCGACAAAAATTTCGAAATATTTCAGACTATCGACAAACATTTTTGTGAAATACGATATTTACGGAGTTCCACTCGATAGAGATATTTTGCCCTTAACGTATAGAGAGGAATCACGATGTGCGTAGTTTTCCAATCAAAAACTTCCTTCTCTCCATTTTTGGGACTTCAGCAATTGGGGAAACGTTTGAAATGTTCCAAAGAAAATCATAATCAAAGTACTTTAACCGCACAAACGCACCTATAATAGCTATACGAGTTCTTCTGCAATCTTCTTTGCAGGATAACCCTCTTTGTAACATTTATCTTAATATCCTCGGAATTTCACAATTTAATTTTTATTGCACAATGAAATCAATCAAAATATAGATGCTCAAAATCTTAAAATAAATTTGAATCGATTCACCAGACCATTGCACGCGAAATTCTACACGATTTTACTTATGATAAAAATTCAAGGAATGTACGTATGTATATCTTTCGTAATTTTCTTCGTGACATTTATCCCGACATCCTCGACATTTCACGATAATAACTCAAATTGCACAATAAAAACACATACTTTCCTCTTTCAACCCTGTCCGATTGATTAACTAACCGCGATTTCTCGTAATCATCAACCAAAGATTCGCAACCCTTAAAATAAATTTAAATCGATTCCCCAAGTCATCTTATATCAAATTTTATACGATTTTATTCGCAATTTATTAAATTTTCACTGAAATGAGAAACCAGCTAGAAATACAGCGTATCACGAGGGGACACAGATATAGAAGATTGAGTATAATCAATCGAACATGTCGTGGCTGAGCGATCTGAATCAATTCTACTCTTCGCATTTCGTTCTGGCTCGCTTGAAAATTTACGACTGGCAGCGAGTTAATGGCGGAACGACCAATCCGTTTCCTACCTGCAGGAAGTCGGTGTCGTTCAGCACATAGAGCGGCGTGGTGGCCAGGCCCTTGATTTCCTTGCAGTTCGGAATCCCATTCCGATGGACAGCAACGCCGTCGTAATCGACGCTGTAAAGCTCCATCGCCCCCACCGGCACCGGGACGCAGCTTACGTTCGGAAGATCCGAGAAAATCCGCCCAGGTGGACAGCATTTTCTGACAGTCGTGTTCTCGATCGATGCACCTACCGACCAGAGCCAGACCAGAACCAAGACGATCGGGCTTCTGGTCGTCATCGCGAAACGTCGCTTCCTGACAGCTGACAAATTGCGCTTCGAGGATCTCGAACCGAACGATTTCACTTTCGTCAGTTCCAACGACGGTTGCTTTCCTCGGTGTCCTCGTTCGCGGTCGCAGCTACAAATTAATTGGTCCTCGTTGTTGGATCGCTCGATGAAAAGTACAGTGGCGGGCAAAAGTTCCCGACAATTATGGATCGTTTCGCGTCGAATCGACCGCTTCAGGGTTTCATGTGGGGGATTTCATTCCTAGTGTGAAACTAGGGGCGGGTTGAGTCATCGTTTCGCTGCTTTCTAAATTGATAAAAGAGAAACACAGAATATGGAAATAATTTTGGGTTTTTTTCAAAGCTTGAGCTGATATATAAGGAAATAATTCCAAGTATTTTCTATTTACAACTTTCGAAGGTCTGCGGCACCTGTTAATGTTAAAATTGAGAACTCAAATTTTGCTAGGTATTGTTATGACTAAATGTTATAAAACCTGAAGAAGACCACGAAACACAAATCCAACAACAGCGTGATATTTCGTTATAATATGTTATATCGTCTATGTCCAACAGCAAGAATTTTCTTTCCAACACCGAAGCAAAGCTAACAACTGTAAAACCTGAAAAGGTTAAAAGTATACTCCCAACCAATCCAATCGTTTCAAAAGGAGCGAATAAAATCACCCCTTTCGATCGGCCGTAATTCAAACAAAAAAATGTAACTGTCTGGAAACTTTCACCCGTCGCTGTACTTGAATTCCTGCGGCATATCGTCGCTAATTGATACTTGTGGCTCACCGAACGAAAAATACTCCTCTCTCACGTAAACGAGAACTTGCTCGACGAACACTTCAATTATTCCCAGCACGCAGCGCGGTCCAAAACACCAAATATTTGTACAAACGTCACCGCGCGCCGATTTTTCACCGTTTTCACCGAGCCACTTTCGTCCTCGAAGTCGTTCGCGGATCACGCGCAGGGAAAAACTGACCGAAACGTTGACAGAGCCGCGACCGCCGATAAGAATCACGACTGTCGACGGCTGCAACGTTTTCCAACAACCTCCGCGCGCGACGGCAGCTGGAGGATTCCTCGACGATTTGTTTAAGCTTGACTCATTTGTGCCCGGATCCCCTTCGACGCAAGAACTTTCCGAGAACTGGCAAACTAAAATTGTCTTCTCGACGCGGGAACACTTACCAAAGTGCCCTACTTCTTTTTTCTATTTTTATATCACTTTATCAAATCCCAGTCCAAGTGTACGATTCACGAAACCTTCGATCCCTCTCTCTCGTCGACAGCTGCACCACGGGTTGCACTCGAACTCGAAGCCCAGACGATGATTTACCAGACGCGACGTTAAGTGGAGGAGGTTAAAGGAACCGAGCTCGACGGAGTCAGACGCTCTGTTAACTTTTCAAACTTCAATTTATCGCATTCAAGTTTACTCGAATTGACTGTTCCTCGTTGATGAACGGGTGCACGGTAAAATGCTACTTTCGTGGGGCAGCTGCAGGTGTTTGTTTGATGTCTAGTTGTACCGATCAGATCCTCTTCCTTTTCCTTTTTCTTCCAATTCCCTTGAGAAGTCATTTATAATTTGTCTCGAATATACATCATTGAATATATATTTTAATTCAGAAACGTCCAATGCTTCAGGTTTTTAAATCACGAGCACAATAACTATATTTGCATTTCACACTACCTAATCCCACCCTCGATTTATAGCACCTACCGATTTTCAGTTATAGAAACGAATTAATTAATTTCAGAAGAGCAGCTTTAGGCTTGCCACCTGGAATTATTTCTGTTGGTTGACCAGCGTTTGCTAATCCCAAGTTTATTTGTTTCTTTGTTGGGTTTAACACGGTCCCGGCGGTAATCTTGAAGTGATTCAGCGCGAGCTGTCTCCGGTCGATTAAATCGTCGCTTCCGTTGCATAATGCAACGGCAGACACGCACGCAGCTGCATCCCGATGGTAATCTCCAGAGAGGGTTCGAGGGCAATTATAAAGGAGCTATTACTCGAAATTAGCTGGCACGTTCCATGGAAAGTAATCTTATCCGTGGTAGGATCGCAAGTTCCATGGAAACTTTACGCTCGGTTCGATGTCTTCTCGCTTCGTTGGCCAAATGCTTCCACCGTGGTTCTGCTCTGTCGGTTCCAGATATCCCATCGAACGGTCCACGAAATTATTATCAGTCCCTCACCTTCGCAGTATTCCCCTGATTGATTTCCAAGAACCTATATCTTCATCTTCCTCGCCTTTGTCTATCGATCACGTAGCTGGAATTTTCTTGCTCTCCGTTCCCTCCCCCGCGTCCCAGGATTTCTTATTCTCGTGGCGTGCTTTCCGTTCCAGCGATTATTTCCGAACGTTCCTTCGAGACTTATTAACGAGACGCTGATCGATTTCGCGACGTGTTAAATAGCAATTAAGCCTTTACTCGGCAACCTTTCACCTGGCTGTAAAAGAATATTCGGTCATTACTTCGCCGAGTTCTCGTTTTCATTAACCTACTATTAACCCTCTGCACTCCGTTGGCGCCGTTACGTCGGCACGCGTAACGCGTACCACACCTCAAGTCGGGTTTCATTTATGGCAACGCAAATTGAATTAACCCTCATGTATAGGTGACCCTCGCAGGAGGCGGAAATTTGTTAGCGAGGGACTTGTATCGGTCTGTGTGCAGCTTCTGTGTTGCAAAAGTGGGCAAATACTAGGGTGAACAGGTTTGAGACCGCGGGTAGGGCCCAATCGTAATGGAGCACATAAACTGAAGGACAGAATTCGTTTCCTTTCAGCTTGGTGAAGAAGAGAGGCGGATACCAAATAGTACGTGTAATAGTAAAACGTAGCAGAAATTTATTGACAAAGAGCACGAGAGGGTTAACGCAATAAATGAATGCAATTGATTAGTTCCAACAAACGAATGAGATTTTCTAACTTTATCAAAGGAATAAAATTAATGAATTTATCAATTTCAATCAGTTGATCAAGTATTTATCCTGATAATTTTATCCCGTAGCCTGAAAAGGCCAACTTTCTTCCCACCCTTACATACCTATTTACTCCTTCGTCTCGTTAAGTTCACCAGACTCCTCCAATTGATTGCTCCTCCCACACCTTCGACTCGATTCTGTCCAATTGTTTTCCAATTTTCCCCCCTTCGTTTCTCCAGCTTAATTCCGGAGCATCGTTTGCAGTATCAACACGCCAATTCTTTAATCCAAGATCTAGGTTCTCCACGCGGACACAATGCTCATCCTAGCGATTCCTTCACTGTTTCCTCTCGCTTGGATTTTCCGTCCTCCTCTATCCTGGTATAACTCGCAATCTCTGCTGCCCTCGTCGCGAATTTATTACCCCTTTACGTCCTTCTTTACGTCGCACTTCCTCTTCCTTCTCTTCTGTTATGATTATTCCGCTCGTCTACGTCCTATGCCAAGCGAGACTGCAACGCGAATCTATCGTATCCACCTTAGGGATCGTAATTATCTCAACGACGCCTTCTGCCGCTCTTCTCGCTCTTCTCCTCACGGCTCCGAAGAGATTAAGTGGCGTAAGGCCGCGTTTCCACGAAAGGATTACTCGAACTACCGGATACAAAATCTTCCTTTTCGGTGGTGTGACTTTTTCCAAGGTTACTAATGCTTACAATTACCCTTCGATTATCTTCACTTTATCGATCTTTGGATTCCCATCTCACCGATCGTGTTGTATTTATCTGTTCTCGAATTTTTTCGAAATCACTTTTTGAGGGAAATAGTTGTAATTTAATTCCAATTAACTAAGAAGCAACGATAACATAGCGGAAAAGTGTTTGGGTGTCTCCCATAAATGTTTAAGAGTGTAAAAGAAAGTTTGATGGAGCACAGAGATTCCGAGCTGTCTTTAAAGACTGATGTTCAAACTGGTTCCAGGATAGTGTGACAAGCTCTCCCGACAGGATGCGTACAAGTTCTTGCGAAAGTTGCGTGGTCAATTTTGTACAAATTAACGTTTTCCATTTACTATTACTCCACCTATACGAGTTCCTAGAAAACGACGAAGGTGGTGAATGTTTCTGCGATAACAAAGCAATCCCAAAAGTGTTTATAGTTTGTCGTAAACCTATCTCGTAAACCTATTCTCCCAAGAGTCGTCAGCTGAATGTCACAGATCGCTCTCGCACGCAACTTCGTCCACTGTGTTGTAATTACTAGGTTTAATCTTGACCTGAACTACATTCAAAGGCTTGTTAAAATCCTAATACACACAGACTTTCCTCTTAAATTTATAGACTCTTTTTCGTCGTTTTAATTGCTCTTTGATTCCTGGTTTAGTTTCCATAAACCACTAACTTTCCTAATCGGCAAATTTTCTTCTTTAAAATCCAATTTCAGCACGCAAAGTTACACCACTGAAGATGAACCCCCAGTTCACGCTCGAAGGTCGCTGGCAAACTCCTCGTTTAGTCTTCAAAACCACTTACCTCCGTAACTTTCTCAATCTCTAGATTTTCTTTTCACCTTTCACCGGTGTCTCGGCAGTCGAGCTCCTCCGATCATCAACGATCTATCAAAGAAATCGTCACTCGCGAACGACCCGCGTCATTCTATTCCCGCTTTTCGAGAAAACCAATCCGCGCTTGCTCGAATTCGATTTCAGCATCCAACGTAGCACCAGCCAACAATCGTCAAGAAGAGTTTACGCTCATCCCTTCCGAGTTTCTCTTCGCTTCGAGACGTTTTACGTATACCTCGGCCGAAGAAGCACTCTCTCAACAACTGTAATTCCCGGGGTCGCATCGAAGACGAAGATTCATCGATGCGTGGGATGAGAAGTTACGACGAAAATCGAATTCAACGTTTCGCAGCGAAACTAAAGACAGGAATACACCGTTTCGCGAAGGGATCGCACCTTGTCGTTCGCGAGATCAGGATTCACCGAGAAGACTTCCGTCGACGATCTAGCGAGTGTTCGAATTTAAAGTTCGAGTAGTTTAGACCCCCACCTTTTATCGTTTACCTTTCGCCAAGCTTGGCCAGATTCGCCGATGGTTCGCGCGAACGATAAGACATGTCGAATACACGCAACGACGCGACGAATGCGAACGCAGAAGCGCGACTGCTCGCTCGCACGAGCGGACAGTTGAGATCGGAGCGAAATTCGACTAGGCTCGCCGCGTAAACGACAAGAAAACCATACAGGACGCACCTCTTTCCACTGGCGCCCAGTCTCCCTCTCCTTGCCAGGATTCCCCTCTACGAGTGTATCATCCGCCTTTTTCTTTTTTCTTTCACCAATCCCACAACTACCGCTTAATCGTTCCATTACTAACCTGTTGCGTGGAAACGCGAGACGAAAACTGGAGGCTACGTACGCATCAGTCAGACCAGCTTGACTCTTCGTCCTTTCGAGTTGTGTTCTTCTTTTGGGAGAACGGAACCGGAATTGTCTACTCGTGGAGAGAACAGGTAGCGCGGATCAGGGATGCTCAATGGAATTCGTGGACCATGTGGTATACGTGTGCAGTGTGCAATATTTTATATTTCACTGTTAACATAGCAGCATTCTAAAATTACTGCCATTGATAAGTAGCGATGAAAATTTTCAAATCTATCTAATCCTAGCTCTGACACAGCTCCTCGGTTACTTCCTTCATCCAATCATTGCCCAAACAATCCTATCAACCATAATTGCGCCTCTAATCGCACGATCAAGCAGTTACGGTTCACGATCCCTACTTCCAATTTCATCTCGCCGCTAATTCCATTTTTTTCCTTCACCCAGCCTCATAAAAAGTGACGTCCAATTGAAACGTAATTCTGCTGAAGGAGGATACAAATTAATTTCCGTCTGCCAACGTCGCGTTTACCACTCTGATTAATCGTCTTCGTCGCTGGAACATTGTCGTTTTCCTCCCTTCGCCCGCCGACCCTCCGTTCCAATTCTACCCTCCCTTCCACCCCTCGCCGTATCCCTGAATTTACCGTGTCCGTTTATCTCGCGCGGAACAATTTTTTAAACTCGCAGCCTCATTTGTTAGTCGCGAAAGCAACGGTATGCCTCGAGAAACGGGGATAAAACTTAATTCATAGCCGGTACATAACCTCTTAGTCAAGACGAGCCCGAGACTTCTAATTAATTCTCAAAAGATCTTCATCCGAGACGGGCCCTTTAAAATATTGCGCGAATGTTTCATTTCGGACGCGAGCCTGACTACGAGCGCCTAGACTCTGGCAGCTACGATTCCAGACCTGGAGGGAGTCGTCCCCTTCAGCAACGCATGCGGACACTTAGCAGAAGGGCGCAACTGGAAATTAACAGAGACGAATAAGTCACAATTCTTCTCAAAGCTTCGAGGAATTTTAGCAGGGAAAACAGAGAGAGAAAGGAAGATCGTTTCGCTTCCGGGTGTAAAATTGTACTATTCTGAGAAATTGATGTCCTGGTATTATGTAAAAGGAGATTAGAAGACAGAAAAGTGGAGGAAAAATATTAAAAATACACGAAAACGTCTGTAGAAAATTATATAACATTTCTACGTAATAGTTTATTTACCAGAAGCTTTTCTATAGGCTGTTTGATTTGAAATATGGACATTTCGAATGGTTACTTGAAACCCCCTGGATGCTCCACTGGTCTTTCTTCATTTCCCTTAAAGTTCTTCTTTCGAGCATCCCTTCCGTCTTCTGCGCCCCCAGCTGGCTGGCCTGATGCTCTTATTTCTCCTCTTTTATATCTTCTTTTTTGCCCTTCGCGCCCAGCTTTCATTTCTTCTCTTCCTGTTACTTCACGACGACCCGTTCCTTCCTTCCGTCCTTCAGCTTTCTTTACCGTGACATGTCTACCTTTTTTGCACCCTCGCCGGTGTTTACGCTCCGTACGAAAATTATGAATCTTTTTGGGCCACTTATCTTCTGGCTTTAGTGGAATCGTAACACCGGCAAGCGTTTCTTTCCTTCCTTCTTCATTCGTGGCTCTGTGAATACCGTGTCGTGTGTTTGATCGTTTATATAATCTACTTCAATTTGCACTGCGCAGTATTGATGTTTAGAACGAACAAGAAAATCACCAAGAATACAAAAATACGAATTTGTTCGTAGACGTATTTTCCTGTTTAAATAATTAAACTACGGATTTTATATATTTATGGCGAATCCTATTATAGAGAACATGTGCAAAACGCACGCAGAGTTATTTTATAAATTCATATAATAATATTCATATTTTATCCTGCATAAGTGTACGTGTATATTATCTGTACGCGTGTAATGTACGATTTTCATATTTGCATGCGCCAGAGATACGTATTCTGCAATCCAGAGACAGCATTCAATTTGTTTGAAATCGCAAACTAATTGTGCGCCAACTGAAGCAAAAATAAAAAATAACGAAACAGAAGGGAGCCATTGCCATTTCACATTAAAGAAATTCTGGAAGAAACATAATACGTAACACCATGTGAAAAAAGGTAAATCAAGAAGTAGCAAACTAGTGAAAACTTCGTACTCGTTTAATTCACCGTTGTACGAATATAAATAGCTACTTTTTGCATTTGAATTGAATTTGAATTGCATAAAACTTTGATTATGTAAAAACGATTTACTTCCCCAAACCTTTGATTTAGAATCTGATTATGATGTTCATCCATTCCACAACTGTCAGCTTTGAAGCTTAGTTACTAAATGATGCATAATATGAAAACAATTCCCGAGTTACTCGTTGAAGTAAAATTCACAAAATTCACCGACAAAGTGCCGTGATTACATTCTCAGGGGTTAATGTCTTACAGGGAAAATTTCATTCGACGCGCGTAACTTCGTTTGATGGGTGTCTCGCCAATATCGATGTCACTTACCCGATAATTTTCTCCTGTGGAAACTGTATCGAAATTTATGGCATCCTTATTAAATGTCGTTTCTCTCCTCCGCGAGTAAAGACGTGTTCTCTATGATACAACTGACTGTAGCAAAGCTGCAACCATTCGAAACTCCGAGTCATTTGGAATATAGAAGTTCCCCACGTTTTAATTAATTCCTCGTGTTGCGAAGCACGACATTGCTTTCAAAATGGCCGAGACAAGCATGTGGAAATTTTGCCTCTTCCTAAATTTGTAGGTGCACTATTAACAAGCATGAATTTTACATTTATTAGTGATACCAAATTTTAGATTAAATAGAGACTAAATAAAATACCTTAAAAATGTAAGATTAAGTACAGCTCACACTAATTGAGGATTATGATAGATTGAATGATTTTTTCTAAAATGTTACTTTACCATCGACTTCACTCCTCTCCAAACGGATTCGACCAGAAATCCTAATATCATCCTGAAAACTTTGAAAGGAAGTCTATTTGGAGCGACAAACGGGCCCAAAAGTGTAATCTGCTTTCGCGATTCTCGGAGGACCATCCGTCGTACGTCGTATCGACCTTTTCACGCGTTGTCAACTTACCCCCGTCATGACTACGAAGAGTGAAACGAGTCGTGAAACGAACGAAAGAGTTTAACGGAGTCTCAGGAGCGGTCGGGGCTCGATGCCAGAAATTCGCTCCTCCGCAAAGGTTCCCAGATTTCTCGGCCATAAAATCGTTTCGGGGACTCCTCCTTTGAACTTATCGAGTAACGTTCGAAAAATAAGTCTTAGATCATCCGAGGATAGGAAATGGAACGATCCATATTGCGTTTTCCCTTCATACTGCCGCATTTTTAAAGTTCTGTGTCACTTCGGCGCGAGTATAGCGAGCTAATCGACTGCGAAATTTGTAAGATTCTAAGATTATGAGAAAAAGAAATTGTTATTTGTAAACTTCTCTCGCGGAAAACATTTCACGGACACAAAAGAACATATTACCGAAGGAAGGTACATCGACTGATTAGGTTGCCATGTTCGCCTCACGTAGCCCCGATGAAATTTTTTGGAATAACCATCGCGACGCTTGTTGGCGACTGTCCACGCGCGAGTCGAAGGAGGTAGAACGAAGTTAGTAGAAAGTGTAATGAGATTCCGTGAAATCCACCCTTCTGACACGTTCCCGTCGTCCATTTCACGAGCCGTTTCACGGTCGATGTAGTACGAAAACGGGCAACCCGACGATGCGAGAAGAAACGAGACGGCATGCCAATTTACCGTACGACCGTTGGTTATAATCGAACACGATGGAAATTTTATTCGTAATAAAATTTTATAATGCGAAAGTAGCACGGTCATCGATTCAGTGGGTGGTACAATGAGGACATCCAAAGGGATCGCTCGAGAAATTATTTTAATTCCATGTATAATTCTCAACTTATATTCGAATATTCCTTCCTATTTTATAACTTTTTATGTGATGTATTTGTTTAAAGTTAATTATTACAGTAGGTGTAGATATTAATTCTGTGTCTGTATATTTATATAATTATTTATAGTTCTAGTTTAGAACTACAGAAGACAAACTTAATTTGACAAAACAGGAATGAAATTTTTCGTAGAAAAACGAGCGTTTGGTTCGCGAATTATGAAATTCCTAGTTCTCGATCTACTTTGGCACAAGTTTATTTATTGCAAACGAATATCGGATCCGGTGTCGCGAAACGAATTTTCGATTCGCGTCGGCATTGGTGCGAAACCACGTGGAACGCAGTTACGAAGAAAACGCAACGAGATATCGGAGCGAATTTCGTTGAAAATTTTATCACGAAACGTCTCTATCGTCCGTTTCAGTCATCGTACAGCGACTGGAAGTCGTGGCTGACTACGTTGGTAACAATGAAACACCACGCGAACGAACGAGATCCGAGATAATCCTAGGGTCCTAGAATTAACGTGTCAGGGACTATTCGTACGAGTATCGTCAGTGCTGCGCACGAAAGTTTCTAATTAAACGCCAACAAAATTGACAAGCGCTGAACCCTCGCCTCGGTTGCGTTCATTTTTGCAGCAAGGAGGTACACGAACGTGAGAAAAATTGGATTAGATTCGATTTAAAATTCTCTTTTAACAATAAACTAGATTCAGGAATAGTTGGAACAATGGAATTTAAGAAAATTAAATTCGATGCACCAAAATAAGAATTCGTGAAACGTTAATATTTCGACGAAATAATATTCATAATCGTTATTTGAACAATCTACACTCCCAAT